GGAATTTTTCTAAATGTTGTATATAGCTTGAATCCTTGATTTTTGCGGATTTGGTTGAAACGCAAATAATATTCTTATACAAAAAAAAAAATACCAAAAAATTTTTATTAAAAAAATCAACAAGCGGTTTTTTGAGTCGCTGTATTTATCTATAATAACTCTAGTTGAGGTTTTTGAATTGGTAAAGTTTCTTTGTTGCCTCTAGTTTCATCACTTTCGCTTTTGGTTGAATGAAACTGAGAAGATGTCATTCATATGATCACAAATACCATATAATTAGTTTAATAAAAAAATCCTTAAAAACTATTTTAATTATTGATGATAGTTTTGGTGACCTTTCCACTTCGGCTCGAGCCGGCAAAACTAACAAATTATTTTAATCATTATTTAAATGACTAAAAAATAACAAAACTATACTTTTTATTAAAATAACTAAAAAGGATATTTGTAGGTATTTTCCACATTTAGTAAATTTTTAGATCCTGGATCCGTGTTGTCCTCGAGTCGTCTTCGTTTTCGTTGTGGGCAGTGCCACACCCATTTTCCTAAAATTTTATGAAAAAATTTTTTTTTGCTTAAGAGCCATTGTATATATCAATTTTGAGCAAATATTGATGAGCCCCTTAGCCACACTGCTCAAAAAATCTGCACGTCCGGTACATACATACACACAAATAAATTCAAGACCGTATTTTGGCTTAAATTGCTTAACTTCGGCAATTTTTATGCAATTGCATTGTTGAGGATCAGTTTATTCGAAAATAACACTGGTCTACAAATTTCAACTTTTTTTCTGCGAATAAGACGGGACCTGGTGTTTCTGAACGGATTTTTCGTGCTGAACACGAATCCGGGGTCAAAAATGTCCCATCACGTCACGTTTTCGAGAAAAAAGGGGTTGAAACCCCTAAAAACAGCGTTTTTGGCCATTTTCGAAAAATTATAGAGCTGAACCCTGACGTGGTACAAATTTTGCATATATCAGAAATTAAAGGCTAAACCGTGCCCTTTCGAATGAGCCCTATGCCGAATTGATCGCGTGCACCCTTAAAGCAGGGGGTGTATTTGTGTTTAGGGGTGCAGGAAAAATTGATCACAGAAAGAATTTAATCTTAAACGATCATAGAAAATTAATAATGCCAAGGTTTTAACTATATTAAAAGTCGCTGATTACGAATCTGCAGTTAGATTTTAAAAATTTAAGATGACGGGTCGAATATGGTGGATATAAAAATTGGACTCCTAGACACAAATACACCCCCTGATCTAAGGGTGCATGCGATTAATTCGGCATAGGGCTCATTCGAAAGGGCACGATTTAGCCTTTAATTTCTGACATATACAAAGTTTGTAGCACGTCAGGGTTCAGCTCTACAATTTTTCAAAAATGGCCAAAAACGCTGTTTTTAGGGGTTTCAACCCCTTTTTTCTCGAAAACGTGACGTGATGGGAAGTTTTGGACCCCAGATTCGTGTTCAGCACGAAAAATCCGTTCGGAAACACCAGGTCCCGTCTTATTCGCAAAACCCTTGTAGACCAGTGTAATTGTTCTTTTAGATAAGTATTACATATTAGGCAATTTTCATAGAAATTTTTGAAATTAACGCTGATCAAAGCTCAAAAAATGAAGAAAAATAGGGGCTCATTAAAATTTAACCGATGAAAATTCCAACAAGCTAAGTCTAACAATATACTGTTATACATCGTTTTAAAGGTCTATAAATCCCCTTTTAAAAACTTGTTCGATTCTTAGAATCGGATGAAATATAGTTAGATAGATAAGTATATCAAGTACGAAAATAACGGTTTTTTGCTTTAAAAAGAGGAGGGTTCAGGAACTATACGGGACCTATTTTCATGTTGTACTCGACCATACCATTATGGCTTTTCTTTGTAGCACCGTGTAATTATTCTATTTAAATAAAGCGAAAGTATGATTCGTAATATATATTTTTTGCCTTTCTTGATCATACCTTCTCCTCTATTGATTGGCACTTGAAGGAGTTGAAGCGTATTGAGAATCTTAAGAAATAAATTCTTTAAAAAGTTTAAGCTAAGTAAGGACAACAGATACTTTGTTTCCTATAACAGTTACCGAGATCAGTTTAATGCTCTCAATAAGTCCTGATATAAGGGTTACATTGCTAATTTTGAAATAAGCATTCAAAGTAATCCGAAATGTTTCTGGAACAACATTAAGTCCATGAAGGGTGTCTCTAATGTTCCCATCTCCGTTTTTATAAGAATGGTACGGCAGCCTCTTTAAATAAGGCAACTGACCTTTTTGCTGATTTCTTTGCCTCAAATTTTGTACCAGCTGATGAGGTTGATGAGCTAATCGCGGATAGTGATACCAACAATATGGAGTATGCTTCCTTCGATGTAGGCTCTCTGATTCTGACAGACGAAGATATTCTTGATGGCATTAAGAATCTTAAATATTCTTGTTATACAGATGACGATGGCATGTCTGCTATTTTTTTTTAAGAATTGCGTTTCCTTAGTAGAACCCTTGAATTGTATCTCCAATCAATCGCTATCGTCAGGCATTTTTATTGAGGAATGGAAGCACACCTCCATCACTCCGATATTTAAAAGTGGTAATAAGTGTAAAGACAGTAACTACCATCCTATCTCTAAACTAACTACAGTTTCTAAGCTCTTTGAAGTTATAATAAAGAATAGGCTGTTTCATACTTTACCGCACTTAATTTGCTCCAATCAGGTAGATCCACTGTAACTAATCTCGCCGTTTTACTGACAACTGTATTAAAAGTACACGGAATTTTCCAAGGCACTCGATAGAATTTCGCACACGATTTTAATTCGTAAACTTTCACACCTTTAGTTTAATTCGTCCATCCTTCAACGGATAAATACATAGTTCTAATGTTCTTGATGGCGCTTATTCGAAGACCTTTTTGCTCACCTCTGGAGTTCCGAAAGGTAGTATATTGGGCCCATTGTTCTTCTTAATATTTATTAATGACATCGAGTCCTGCTTTACTACATCTGAGTATCTCTTATACGCAGATGATTTAAAATCTACTCCGTTATTATATCAAATAATGACGCGCTTCTACTTCAAGCTGATCTTGACAGGTTATTTTTGTGCTGTGTTAAGAATCGCGTATTTCTTATCATTGAAAAATTTAACCAAATTACGTTTTCTAAACAATCTATACCGCTACCCACATCATACCGTATTTCTGATACTCGATGGGAGTCTCTCAATGTTGTTAAGGACCTCGGAGTATTTTTTGATTCGATTTTACTTTTATTACGCATATCAATTACATAGTAGCTAATTCATTTTCGATGCTTGCTTTTGTTAGACGCAACGTACTGCGTTTTTGAATCCCTATACTCACAAAGTCTTATATCCTGCATTTGTTCGGTCAAGATTAGAGTGCGCTGCCTTTATTTGGAGACCTTATTACCTAGTCCCCATAAACAGGATTGAGTCAGTCTAGCGGGTGTTTATCCGACACGCCTTAAGATCGCTTAACTTCTCCGACCCTATCCCATCCTATTTTTCACGTTGTCAATTAATTAATTTAATGCCAAAGAATTTTCCTTTCCGTTTCTTTCATTATCGATGTAATTTCCGGTAACGTTGATTGCCCCTTATTGCTTAGCATAATATATTTCAATGTTCCTAGCAGAATTTTGCAAGAAATCAATACGATTTCAAGTTCTCTAGACCTTGATCTCTCTATGCCAAAGAGTATTTTCCGAAATCGGCTTGGATCTTATTTAAGTAATGTCAACAATATTTTGTAATATATAATTTTTTAATATGTGTAGTCGGTAAGAACATCATATTCATAGACTTAGTAAACAAATAAATAAATATTTATGTCTTAAGATTATGATTATATATTCGCCAGGAATTCAATGAAATTTATTGAAACATGTAAAATTGATAAGTTATCTGGCGCATTTCACGTGATTGTGTTCCTATCACTACAAATTTATATAAGTTGTTACAACTTTTCTACAGAACTGCGATAGATGCATTAACATTTTTGTATCTAAGATGAACTCTGTTTTGAAATTGTCCTAGATGGAATAGAAAAAAACAAAAGGGCTGTTACGGATCTTGTGCCCATGGTCTTGCATTTGCATATTTCGGTGCATTTGTAAATCCACAGCAATAAAATGCAAACGGATACTATGATAGCAAGCTTAAAATTTGCAAATACAAATCCAACACCATTTGCACAATATCCTGAACAGCCATTTTTTGAAAAGATTGCAAAGGGATTGAAAAAAAGAGAACATGGTAATTTAGATAAACTTATGCTTATTTGAAGTTAATAAACATAATTTTTTTTGCAGCAAAGTTAAATAAATATTATTTACGATGATAATACGAAGCTTTTCCGGCCAAAATTTTTACTGTAGGAAGATGTTTGACCTAGTTAGAAATTTTAAGGATAATCGAGTTATATTTTTTAATCCTTCCATAAAAGATTTCCAGTTTTAGCCCAAACAATTGTTAATGATGACAGAATAGGAATGCGAAGAAAAAATGGATGAAAAAAGCCTTAGGGTTTAACCTTACCCAAGCACACCGTACGTGTAACGTGGCCAATGTTTTGTGTACCGTTCACATTTTTAATTGAGCCACGAAATGGTTATATTCAAGACTTTTGGTTGACCTCTAGATTTGGGCCCGAATCACGGCATCGATTGAAACTCGTTTCGAAATTTCATTATGAGATCACAGATTTTTCAATGTAAATTGCATTGGATAGAAAACAGCTGTTAATTGTTTCATTCGATTTGAAACGAGTAATCATTCGATAACGGATTCCCTGATTCTGGCTAGGGTTCGTTTTTCGAGATTTAATTAATTTTTCATTTAATAACAGTGGTTTACAATACGTAATGAATTATTGTCTAATATCAAACTACTTTTTATTGTTCAATTTGGTCGATTTCGTATATTCACAACACTTTTCTTATTTGCATTTATGTATATTTTTTTTTTTCAGAACAACGGCGCCCAACAATTGGCATCTGAGGCTACTGTTTACATTATGCTCGAAGATGTAAACGATGAGATACCATTGTTTACCGAACGTGAACAGGAGACTGTGCTGGAAGGTGAACCCATTGGCACGAAAGTGACGCAAGTGAATGCCATCGACAAGGATGGCACATTTCCAAACAATCAGGTAAACAAAACGCGGCGCTAGCTAAATGTAATGAAGAAGAAAATCCAAAAACAAAGCAGTAGTTTCTGTAGCATGCAAATACCGTATGTTAGGGCCTGTGGGGCGTATTAGTAACAAAGAGCTGTGCATTTGACGCTGTTGAGCGCTTACGCCGCGTCCGGTGCAGTCAAGTATGAGAGCGGTTGATAAGCGACAGCAAGCCACACATCCAACACAAGTCTCCATTAGCCCGCTGGTAAGCGCTGTGCTGAATGTCAAACAGTGCTACATATGTATATAGTATATCCCCGAACCGAATTAACAGCATTCGCAAGTTTCTAAATTTCATATGCCTTTTTAGTTTCTGGCAAATTTTTGTACCTTCGTAATTTCACATTTTTGCGTCATCACTGGCTGAAAAGCTAATTAAAAGTTCGTGTTAGTTAATGCGTATTAAATGGGTTTATCCTTTCCCGAGAGTGGAGGGAGGAGGGTAGCCGAAAAATCGCGTATAAAATGTTTGAGATCGCTACAGCCATTTAAAGAAAAATATAAGTTGAATGAACAATTAGAAAATATTTAATGTTCATCGGTTTTTGTTTACTTTGTCTTTGAATTAACTTCTCCAACGCCCCTTTATTTCAATTAGCATTTTCAACACCACTGCCACTGTATAGCTGCAGATGATGCCTTTGCCTCCGGCTTTTATTCTCATCTAGCTCACATTTTCACGCTAATAAATGTCAAAAGGTATTACATGCCATGTATACAAAAAAAAATCTATACGATAAGCGACCATCCGAGTGCAGTGGACACGCCAGAAAGTGTCTCGAAGAGGGTTTAGGCGTGTGTTCGGTCGCTCTAATTTTTTTATTGTATCCGCTTTGCAAGTTATCCAGCAGCAAGCAACCGCCGTTTTACGCTTATTTCCTTTTTATGGTATGTAAAATGAGGCGGAGATGTAAAAAATTCAGCGTGTAAAATGCATCAGAAGTTAGATATCTCTTCTGTTTTTTATCCTTTTTACTAAATGTCTGCACTAATTAATGCTTTCATCTGTTTGAAGGCTCGCCTGGAGCTCGTAATAAAAAAATTGCTCTATGGATTATGATTTGTTTTCATTAAAATTGTGTCAAGGTAAACAAATTTTATTATATGTGGAAAACCAAAACCGTAAAGAATTAGGGCGGGTCGAAAATATAATTTTTCTCAAATCCCTTGGTAATAGTGAAAATATATTGTATCATAAAGTCTACAACAAGCCTGCAAAATATTAGTCTTTTATTTCAATTGTAAGAGCCCGCACATCGACCACCAAGTGACCCACAGCACACTAGTCGAATAAGACCAATTCTTGTTAAAAATTCGGGATTCAGCAAAAAAGGTTGTTCATATTATTAGATAATGAACCCATTAACGCAAAAGATAAAGTTAAATATCATTTCTCGCAGCCCTTTAGCTTATCGTTAATCTCAAAGTTATCTGTTTTCAATAAAATTTTAATTGTTCTCTTGATAATTGCACTGGCCTGTAAAGAACAGCATTTATATTACTGGCGTGCATTTAGGTCCAAATATTCTAATTTTTTTTTTTTAATATTAGCTATAGTTAATTTTCGCAAATTTAGGAACAATTTCGGTAGCTCAAATAGAAAAACCATTATTTTCACACATCGTGGAAAAATTTTTGTTTATGCAAATGAGTATGGAAACACTGAACAGGCACGACTTCTAGAAACACCAATTAGTTTACTTATTTTTATGCATACAATATAAAAATTGCAAATATAGGAAAATGATAAAAAAATTTGTTCAAAATTTTTTTATTTTAAAATAATTTGTATATAATCTGAACGATTTTCATCATATTATTATCATAAATCCGTAACACTAACAGCCAATTTCACGAAAGCAATTTAAGTGAGAAATGATTTTAATTTTTTGAATTCTATATGGAAATTGACAGAAAGTAAAAAATCATTTTCAATTTAAATTGCTGGTGAAACCGGCTGTAAGTCTCGCCTTCAATTTGGTAATTATTACTTACCGATCGAGTAACATGTACCAAAGTTATATCGAAAAACTTAAGTGAATCTCCAGTTTATTTCTAAAAAAAAATTCTCTTCAATTGTATAAATAACCTTTAAATGAAAGAACCGGATTACAGAAAAGTGTGCAAGGGAGTGACTTTTTTCCTTCAAGCTGAATGTATAGCAATATCTTCCAATTGGAGAGTCATCAAAAGGATTTCCCAGGATATGTTAATATGAATTTACCTATAGTCACTTTTTCACATAATGGAATTAACTAAAATATTTGAGTATGTATATCCAAACACTTATTGCACGTTCCCTACTTCCATAAAACGGCAAAAATGTGCTTCTTCGGTGACTAATGAAATCATTCCGCACCAATTTTCAAGACTGCATAAATGGACTTAAAATGGGACTTTCTCACCCTAATTGTATTATGTTAATGTATGTAAATACTTATATGCTTGAAACTTTGACAATACATGTTTGACTTCACCACGATCTTCAAAACTGACCAAATCAGCGTGACCAAGTCCATGGTCCTTTTAATATTATATGAACATCCGAAAGCATTAAAACGTTTGAAATAAATCTCGTCTCACTTTTTTGTATTTATCACTTGGTTGCTGAAGTAAAGAAGGATTGAAAATTCATAAGGGAAAATTATAGTTTTTGTAAGATTTATCTTAATATCTTAATAACTTGTAGACTTATTGAAAAATGATAAATGAACGTGAGGTACTAAATTTAATAACCTTTAATTTGATATATCGTTGTTTAAAGCATATAACTAATTCCACAGATATTACAGGCCAAGGTGCCTCAGTCAGGGCTAACTTTTCTATTTCTTAAATATTCGATATTTGATTACTAAAATCTCGGGAAAACACCTGTTAAATAACTCAGTGAGAGGGCAGGACCAGGATGAATTTATTAACATAAAAATTTATTCAAGCAAAAATGTTTTGTGTAGGCGTCGGGGCCAATGATAACCATCAGTTACCACCTCTGCATGGTTGTAAGTCATACTGTGTCCCTACGGCTTGTAACGCTGTGGCTTTGCCGCTTAAAAACTCTGTAAGAGTTTTTGGGGGTTTGCGTCAAGCGGCAGTGTTGAGCACCGGTTATGTATTTAAGTTAGAAAATTGGGTAGGTGCTGTGACATAAGTCGCTTAAACACCTGTTTTTATATTGGACCCAAATGCGTGATTTGAGATCAGTAATTGAAGGTGCACTGATTAATTTAAAAATGGGCAAAGTTATATATATTTATTAAAATTTACAATTTTTACTTAATTTAATTTTCACTTAAATACATTTTTTTCCTAAGCACCTCTGAATCTAAATAAAATTTATTTAAAAAAACTAACATGGAAATAGTTAACGGACATATTGTTTTATAAATGAGGGTAACATAACTGAAAAATCCGAACTTAAGAATTTTTCGACTGGGTAATCGGTTATTTAATGCATGACCGAAAAAAGCACAAACCAATTCGAAGAAGAATTAGTGAAATATGCAACCCTACTATTTTAAGAAGATTTTAGATAACCACTGAACTTTGCAATATGCCTCTTTCAATGTATTGTTTTTTTATCCACTATAGGTCTACTACTACATCGTTGATTCACCGCGCAATGAAGGCAAAGAGTTTTTTGAAATTAATTTGCAAAGTGGAGAGATCTTTACCAAAACCGTATTCGACAGAGAGAAGAAAGGAGCTTATGCACTAGAAGTGGAAGCGCGGGATGGCGCGCCATCAGCAAGGCCGAACAGTAATGGACAACCAAATTCAGGTTAGTAACAATGTACTAGTTACTTACCTATAATACACACATTATAAAGATGTTGTGCTGCGCGCGCAAATTTATTCGACAATTATTCAGATTGCAGGTTGTGTATAAGTTTAAAGAAATTCACCAGTCACAGTATTATATACACTAAATAGCAGTAGCCTACATACATATTTATTTACATATACGCAAATGTACATACATATGTAGTTATCAACATCAACAACAGCCACTAACATCAACATCAAAATCAGCATCTGGCGCAAACGCCGCCGCTGCGAAAAAGTTTTGCAAGGATAACAAAAATCGCATTCGAGGAAAAGTTTCTTTATGAATTTTATTTTTCGAACTTTTTCATATGCAAATGCAAGTGACGACAATTTTTGGGCAAATAACATTCTGCATTTACAAGTTTTCTACATGAATAGTAGAAAAGAAAGAAAGAAAATCAAAGCACGATAGAGACAGATTGAGCGTGCAAAGTGGCTGCTTGGCAAAAGTGTGAGTTTTGCATTATCTTTTGCTTCATTCAAAATATTTGAATTCGAAATGCCAACAGCGTCGCATCTGAAGTGGATTAAAATCCGGTTCAAAACATAGTTACTTAGTTGATAGTAACCCTTTTCCTAGGCGTTTGATAAATTAGTTTTACAAAACTGTGTGTCGTCCAGGGGCGCACCCAGGAAAATATTTTGGGAGGGGTTTATACTTCTGAAAGTTCGCTTCAGATAATATGCTCTTTAAGGTACATTTATACAAGTTTTTTCGTAAATTGCACTTTATTTACATAATATTAGCAAAGAACTCAAACATTTGTAACCGACTTCGAAAAAGGGAGAGGTTGTCAATTCGTCGAAATATTTTTTTTCTTTTTTATGTATGCTACCGCATAACTTTGAACCACGTGAACCAATCTCAACAATTTTTTTTTTAATCGGAAAGATGGTACCTCAAGGGTATATCTGGGGAATAATGATTAGTAATCCTAATGATTAGTAATCGGATTAGAAACTTTTATTTTGCAGAATAATTGATTAATTAGGATTAGTTGGCTATACTAATCGATTACTTATTGATTAGATTAGAACTAATCAAAAATCTAATCGCGATTAGTGACGATTAGCATATCTAATCAAAACTAATCAAAAAAAAATTCGATTCGATTTCTCGATTAGTTTTGATTAGATTTGATTAGATCAACTATTATGAAATATTTTTGTAAAAAAAAAAATTTATTTATTTTTGTATATACTCTCGTTCTTTTGTTAAATATTCAGAATAGAACATTTTTGGTTATAATTGTTGTTCGCGCCCCCTCTATAAAGTGGTTAGCAATCAGCTATATGCGTATTTGAATGACCCGACACCAGGTCCTGAAATTTGGAATAAATATGGTGCACTGAAGGAAGCGTGTCTAGCGTTCAATACCCCGCTTACGTCATCAGCGCCCGTCGAAAGGCTGTTTTCATTTGCTGGAATAGTCAATACCCCAAGACGGAATTCATTGTCTGAATTTTCTTTTGAAAAGTTGGTAGTAATGAAGTCGAATATAAACTTTTTGTGATACATATGTAATATAAATCAGCATACATTTAAAGCGTCGAGAATCTCATGTTTTTTTTTAGAACGTGCCTTTAATTTTTATACTACAACTAGTATGAGAAAAAGTGGAGATAGACCCACCAATAAGTGTACCGAAATGACCAGGGCTATGAGCCGAAGACAATACCGTCCTTACTTGTTTAATAAGATTTATGTTTACAGTGAAATTTTGAATAAAAGTTCTTTTAAGTTTGTTACTTTATGAATTAAACGAAAAAAACAACAAAAATATTTCAAAATAGTTGATCTAATCAAATCTAATCAAAAGTAATCGAGAAATCTAATCGAATTTTTTTTGTTTAGTTTTGATTAGTTTTGATTAGATATGCTAATCGTCGCTAATCGCCATTAGATTTTTGATTAGTTCTAATCTAATCAATTAGTAATCTAAAATATTAAAGAACCAAAAAAAACTAATGATTAGATTATTTTATTTTTCTAATCGTAATGATTTCTTTCTAATTCTTACCGAAGTTCCCCAGCTCTGCTCAAGGGTCGTCCCGTAATTTGAAAATTACTTGTTTAATATAAAGTTCTATAAACACAAGATGCGCTTAACTTTCAAAAGTAATAAAAAAATTTAAAAAATTGTTTTAATGTTCATTTTCCTCAATTTCTGGTTTCTGGGTTTCGATTGATGTGGTGATTTTTGGGAAAAATTAAATGGACTTTCATTTTTATGATTTAGGTAATTTTGGTGGAACGAATTTGAAGTTGGTAAATTAAATCTTCGAATCCTTGCTAAGTACATATCAGTGGTAAACTCTTTTAGGCTGTAAGTTGTAAAAAACAACAGTGAGTATGCTTTGCATATTTTTAGGACAATGGTTTCATTCGAAGTTAAATTTTTAAGAGCTCTCAATAAAAACGAAAAATTCATATAAAATTACGCAGAAGAAATGGAATAGAAATTTTCTTCTATCAAAATTTCTTAAATAAGTGTGCATCTCCCAAGAAAAAAATGCTCGTATATTTATTTCTTCAAGAAAATTTACAGCAAAAGCAAAGTGCTATTAAATAAAAAATATTTCTTGTTATTTTGCTTGAGAGCCGGCTTTAGGATACAGTTTGTCTTTCAGGTTATTAGGTTTAGGGGGGGGTTTGAACCCCAAAACCCACCCCTTGCGTGCGCTAATGGTGTCGTCTGAAGTTGAAATAAATACTCACCTTAATAACTCCGTCAACATTTTGGATCGGAGCCATAAAGTGACTTAGCGAAGCGGACTATTTAGCGAATAAGTGGATCTCGCACTACAAATTAGACTTTGTTCAACAGCTTAACTTTTAACATGTCATATATAAAAGTTGCATAATCTCGCACATATCCATGTAAATGTGCGTGAGTTCGATTATGTGTGCCTACCTAATCTATGAACTGCTTACCTTCATATTGCAAATAAGCGAATGAAAACAAATTTTTTCATATACCCGCTTCTGCTTCTTTTTGACCGCTGATGTCGATTGGCGTTTTGCAAATTCGTTTACCTTTTGAGCGCAGCCAATTTTCGGTTTTGGCATTGAAATCAGCGCACACGCGTTGCCAATATTTTTTGACGCCCAGTAGCGTACGGCGTGACAAACGTACACCCACAGACATGCAATTCATTCGACATTTGTATTTGCAGTTGCTGCATTGGTTGAGTTCCAGACTAATGCAATGCTGCAGAGTGATTCGGAGCAGTTTTTAGTGTGCATATTTGCTTTTATATTACCACACGCTGCACTCAGTTGTTGTTAGGCTTTGATGTTGCTTGTCGTTGCATTTGCATTCGCATTTGCAGTCTATAAGAATTTTGGTCAAAATACATCACATACTAACCGTGTCGGTTGTCGGCAACCAAAAAAAAATATTTTGGTCGTTTAATTTAAATTTCTAGTTTGTTTTAGATAAAGTACTAGATAACTATTTTATCGGATCTTTCTCAAGCATTATGGTTCACGGAATCAATTGTTATCAGCTTAACTTAAATTACCGTAAAGCAGTGGAAAGGCACAACCTTCCACTTTCCAATGAATGTAAGATAATGAAATCCGTTGAAATCTGTCCAATTTCTGATAGGTGTTTTGACCCAACATCCAAATTTTGAGTTTTTTGGTCATAACATAAGATTTTGGAGGTGTATTTGAAGTTCTGCTAGTGCCAAAGTTTTTTTTTAGACCTGTTCTACCACCTCTACTCCATGACATAAAAAGTACATGCAACATATTTTTGTAGCACCGTGCAATGAAAATTTAAATTTAACTCACTCAGGAACATATGTATGTCCTTTGGGTGGTCCAAAAATGCATGTGAAAAAGTAAAGTCGGAATTTTTATGCTCTGACCCCTTAGGATTGTTCTATACCGAAAAAAAGGTTACCCTTATTTTTTTATTTTGAAATCAAAAAATATTTATAGGTCGCTCAAAGCGCCCAAAGTTTTCCATGTATTTTATATGGGGGAAAAAACTACTTTTCGTAGAAATGGTATAGAAAAAAATTCAAAAATTAAAAATCAATATTTTTCTACCAGAAAACTCCGCTTATCTGCAAGAGATTCCGAATAATAATACCCAATTGTTTATTTAACCATTTTGTCATCGCAACTATAATTTATAGGTCCGCCAAAAACCCACAAAACCCCCGAAAAATGCAATAAGGCGACCAATACCAAATCATTATTAATTAAATATGATTAAATAAACAATGGGGTATTATCATTGAAAGTATCCTAAAGAGAAGCAAAGTTTTCCGATCTAAAAATTTTGATTTTCAAGAATTCTGGCATTTCAACGAAATATTTTATTTTTCCCATATAAAAATACATGGAAAACTTTGAGCTAAATATTTTTTGATTTCAAAATAAAAAAATAGGGGGTAAACTTTTTTTCAATATAGAACAATCCTAGGGGGTGAGAGCATTACAATTCCGACTTTACTCTTTTTGGACCACCCTAATGTACATAGATGCCAGTTGGCAGTTCGTTGGGCCCGTCTCTAATTAAACCTACACGTAGAGTTAGCGTAGTTAAGCAATAGCCATTATTTGGTTCCAGCGATAGCGATTAACAACTCAAAAGGCCTTTTTATAGATAAGAAAGATTATCTTCAATATATTAATATGCGCCCAATGAGCTGCGAGTAGCCACTTAAGCGTTTACTACTTTCTATTTTCGGCTTGGACAATTCCTCTTCAAATATTATTTATCACGGCGAAGTCTGAATATTTGCATGGACGTTCATACTGTGGTTCTAATCTACATACCAAAAAATCTCATCGATGCCGCTAAAGCTGTAACGAGGGATCGAAGGCCATCAAAAACGGTTTTTTGAGAAAAAATTTTTAATGGTCAATTCTATAAAAACAATGGTGGTTATTGAGTTTGGATATTGAATATTTCCCCCCTCAAGATTATCCAATAGGGCTCCTCAGTCTTACGAAAAAAGTGACTTAAT